CTAGAAATGCGTATTGACTAAGCATTATAGTTTGGGAGCAAAAGAGAGCATTCTTCACTTCTATCAGCTATATGTTACAGTGAAAGTGAAACGTTACATGTCATAATGTAGTCCCACTTGCACATGTGAATTGGCAGTTTCAGTGAGGTTCTCACTGTAACTTGTTCTCCAGTAATGATAATCATACCATATCAGAAGTGCTCAGGCTTGAGTTCCCATACTGTGTTAAATCATAATATAGGTTATTTTGCTTAGTGCGTTCTGTGAATCCAGACATTTTGTCTTATTTAACTATGGCTGAACATATTGTATCAGCCTTACTGTTGTCTCTGATACCATCAACAGCAATTTAAACTTTCAGAAACACCATATTTTTAAAGTATGAAGTCTTGCTGTGCATAAATTTGGCATACTAATTATACTTGCATTAGAAAAAGATGTCCACATATGATGCCTGTCAAGGCCATCCCCCCATTAAAATAAATACAGTGGATGATTGCCTCAGCTGAAGTTGCCTGCTGGGAATAATGTAGGAAGTAGTAGCATAGTGTTTAGGTATAGAACTACTTGGGCCAGGCAACGTGCCATGTACCCTGTAAAATACTGTACCTGACTTGGTCAGCTTCTCAGAGGAGATACCTTTGGTTCTTTACCTCTGGCAGCATATCTACAGCTGGCAACCAGTGACAGTTTGTCTAGCCTCAGTAGTAAAGATGTGGGGAGTAGATACATTAAATACAGTTTTATGAAAAAGTATTTGCCCTCTTCCAGATTGTTGCCCTAAAGTTCTAATCTAATTAGTTGGGTTCACATCATATGCTAAATCATAAACTGCATTATGTCTTCAAAAACTAATAAATTTTTATCTCAGTGTATTAAATAAGTATCTTTAGTAATTTTTTTCACCCTAACCCAGTGGTCCTGTAACTTAGCATGTCTTTATAGTTAATAATTTAAAAAATGTGTAAACTTTGCTAAAATATTTATTCTGCTTTTCTTCTTAGGTATGCTGGCGAGAAAGCATCTATTTTTATAAATTTGTAAATAAAGGTAGAAGTAGCAACACAGTTTCCTCATTTATAGGAGTGTTTTACAGGTAGTACTTGATTTACGACGGCAGTTGGGGCTGGAATTTAGGTTACTAAGCAATGTGGTCGTAAAGCACAACTCCATCATTTAATGATGGCAATCCCTGCAGTCCCAGTTGGTGTTGGTAACTGAATCCCATGGTCGTTAGGTGAGGCACCTTCCTGCCAGCTTCCCACAACCAAAATGGCTACTGCTGGGTAGAGGAGGGAGCAAAAGGGTGGGTGGATGTGTGGGGGATGGTCAGAGAGGGTGCACAGGGGGGTGCAAGAGGTGCCATGTGTGTCAGGGAGGGGATGCGAAAGGCACTGTGTGGGTCAAGGAGGGTGCGTGAAAGGCACTGCATGGGTTGGGTGCACGAGGTGCTGCGTGGGTCAGGGAAGGTGTGTAGGGGTGCGTGAGTGGCTGGTGTGGCACAAATGCAGAGGGGCTGTGGGAGGGTGCGCAGGTGGGGGAGACTTACCCCAGCAACTTGCGATCTTCCCTGCCAGCTTCCCCATTGACTTTCTGGGGAAGCTAGCATGGAAGGTTGCAAAATGGTGATCATGTGATCGCAGAGCGCTTGGCAACTGGTCGTAAGGGCAAACAGGTTGCCAAGCAGCCAGATTGTGACCATGGGGATGCTAGGACGGCTGGAACTCTGAGGACCGGTCGTAACCACATTCACTGAGTACCATTGTAACTTCAAATGGTTGTTGAACAAATTGTAAGTCAAGGACAATTACCTGCATTAATATATACATAATTCATCCTGTCTAGATGTTGAAGCATATGGATAATATATCTACTTGCATTTATTTATTTATTACGTTTATATAGCCGCTCATCTCACTTCTGTGACTCTGGGCGGCTTACAAAGTTAAAAATACAGAGAATGATATTAGATCAACCAAAAATAATCGGAAAAAGCATTAAAAACAATAAAACTATTAAAAACATAATCAGCGAAAGAGCACCATTGATTTTATTTATTTATTTATTTATTTGTTTATTTATTTATTTATTTATTTATTTAATAGACTTGTCCCTGCCCATCTCCCCACAATGGGG